AGGTGTGCGTGTGTGTGGAAAAGGGGGGGGCAGTGGGGGGAATTGGGGGGGGGATCGTTGTGTATATGTGTGTGTGTGTTTTAGGGTTGGTTTTAAGGAATCTAAAGAAGTGGTTGTTGTTTAACAAAAGGTGGCGGCAGGATCCGGAGTTTGAGTCCTCGTCCCCCCCTCCCCTCCTGCGCTTCTCTTCCTACCAACTCCCTCTCCTCCCTTTGGCCTTTCTTTTGCGTCCTTTCCAACCCACTTCTCCATTTCTACCTTCTTTGCGTGCTGCCGGCGTACACGTCGTCCAATGCGCATCCCGTTGTCAATTCCGTCATCTCGTACGACACCTTCTGTGTCGTCCTGCGCCGCCTTTGCATTTGTATTTCTTTTGTTAGTCCCTGCGTTTTATTCCGCTTTCACAGAGGTTCTTTAGGGCTTCTTTTTCCAGCTTCCCCGGTCAGCCAGCTTAATACTCCCTTTCAGCGGCATTCGCATGCGTTCTTGTCTTTATCGTTCGCTGCTCACAACTTTCCCACCTCTCTGCCTCGCATGTGCCTTTGCCCGCTGCTTCTGCTGCCTGGCCAGGTGAGTCCAAAGCGTGGTTCGAGCTTTGTCGGTATATTGCGTTGGCGTCGGTCGGCTAGCCGGACTAGGATAGTCGGGTCGGTCGAGTCGGTCGCGCGTTTTTTGGGGGGTTGGGAGGAGCACTTGCATACCGACAGCTTTTCATTACCAGCAAATCAGCTAGTTCTCCTCCAGGCCAGCAGCAAACTTTATTCCAGCTTTATGACAGCAGTGCTTTACTACTTCTCCGCCGCCTCTACACCTACTTTTCTACACCTACTTCTTTACGGCTTGGCATTACTGCTTTCTCTGCTTTCTTAGTCCTGGCGGCTTAGGTAGGTAGTCTTTCCGACATCATCTACACTTCGTCATCCCGAGGTCGCGGTCTTCACGGACGCCTTTCGGTCAGTTCTACGTTTCATACACTCTTGCCCTGGCAGCAGCTTCAATCGTGTGTGGTTCGTCTTTCCCCCCGCGCCTCCCCCTCTGTAGTACACTTATGTCGTACATAAGCCCCCATTAAGTTAGCGCTGCCTTGTATACATACGCACATACATACATTCCCCCTCTCTCCCCCCTCGTGGCCGCCAAGGATACACGGACACTCACACCCTCCGCCACCGTTGCATTCAAACACGCACATACATACAACCATACACCCATATGCGCCGCCACAGTTCGACCGGTCCACGGCGGTGGCGGCCCTTCACCGCACCGGGGGTGATCCCGTGGCGGCGGTCAGGGCGTACTGGTACCCCGTGACAGGGGGGGGAGGGGGAGAGGGGCCAGAGCACGGAGCTTGAGGAGGAAGAGGAGGAGGAAGGGGGGGGGAGGGGTGTTGTATGAACAAATCAATAAACAGGAAGCAAAATCCGTTGAGGTGGTGGTGGTGGAGGTGGCAAGGAGTCTTCCTAAGGCGGCCGTTATAACACGTACGGGCCTGACGGTATGTACAGCCCGCCGTACAGCTGTTGTTTTGCTGTCTCGGGACTCCCCTCCCCTTCCTTGGTGTGGGTCAGTCAGTGAGGGGGCCCTTGCCCCCCTACCACAGCCGCGAAAAGGAGGGGTGTCACTCACAGAGACGACGTGTATGGTACCCCGTACACTGTATTTTTAGCGGGACGGTGTGGAAGTGGTGGGAGTGCAGTACAGCGATGAAGGGGCTGTCCGAAGGCCCCTTCCCCTAGGCTTTGGAAGAGAGAGAGTTGTGTGTGTTTTAGCGGGGGGAGGGACGAAAGCGGCGATCCGAGTCCCCCAGTCAGAGTCATCCGGATGGCAACATCATCATATCTAGGTCAAGGGAATAAATGAACGAGAGAACAACAGGCGGGGTTGAATGTTGATGACGATGATGATGTGGTGGTGGAGGGGACTGGCCAGCGATACAGCGCCCATACATCCTCTGCCCGGCTGTGGCTGACGTCCGGCTGACGGTGTGCGAGAACCTCCTTGCACCTATTGTGTTGTGTTGCGTGTTGAACGGGCTTTAGGGAACCTAACAAGGCTTGCCTGACCTATACGACAGCTGTACGACAGGGGCTTCTACAAACGTACGTATGCATGTATGTATAAGTATATACTTACGACAGCTGTCACAGTAGACATGTCAGATAAATAGTTAGTTAGTTATCCGTACGGCAGTCACATGAATGTAGAAGAAAGTATTAAGTAGAGTACCTCACATGGACCCTACATACATACGTACATACATTGTCATTAAACCCACTGGGAACAGTAACAACCCATCATCATATATTTTATTTTTCAACCACCACCACCGCTATCACGACGACCATCACCACCACCCTTACCACCGCTATCACCACCCGGTCAACAGTCAGCGTGGATTTCCAGGTAGCCGCAGGTAGGCCCAGGTAGGCCCAGGTAGGCCCAGGTAGGCCCAGGAGGGGACGGCTAGGAGGGGAACCCGAACACTGTTTGATGGTGGTGGTGGTGTACGAGCACAGCAAGGTGGAACACGGGGCCGCCTGTTGATGGCAATTGCCAGTGCCACCCATCACTTCCTTTCCTCCTTCACCCCCACACCGAAAAGCCAGACTGGGGATTCTTTACGGAGGGGGAAAGAGTTCTACAGAACCCTAGGTGAGGCTTAGACTAGATCACGAGATCGCCGACTCTGCCGCTGCATCAGGTAATCCCTTTATTCCCCCGCCGCCATCGTCGCTGTCGCCGTCGCATTTTCCGGCTCCGCCATGGCCAGCGCCAGCGGCGGCAGTATGTACGGCAGTTCCGGCAGCGCCGCCAGCGGCAGCAGCATGCCGTCGAAGGCTGGCAGAGGTCTCCGGTGCAGCGGCCGGGCCGCCGGGTTCACTCCGGCTGGAATCCGCGGGTATCGCTGACTGAAGTGCGTTAGTATAGTCCTGGTTGGGGGGGGAGGGCGGGGGACTTGGAAGGGGGTAGAGGCAGGAGGTGTCGGGCACTTGCCTCTCTCCTCTCAAGTCGATTACAACAAAACACACTGTAGACTTACATACACACAAACACACTTTCCAAGCACGGGCGCGTGCAAAACCAACATGCCATAAATAAAATACACGCAATTTCCCTCGCACCAAAAAAAGTCACGCAGCAGTCACAAAAAAAGGCAGAAAAATAAAATACAAAGTGCCGACATCCCACACGCATGCATGACCTCATGATCGTACCACTGTCGTACCTGTAAGCTCCCATCGCCTCCGCCACCGCCGCCGCCTCCGCTGACGTGGAGTGCCTCTTGCTGCGCGCCTGGGACTCCATGCAAGGTTCAAATGTGGCCTCGTGTATGAGCAGTGTGGCGCCGCGGCCGGCAGCAATGAGGGCGGGACAGGGCCGCGTGTCCCCTGGAGCAATCATGAAGGGTTGCGGGGGGGGGAGTACGACGGGGATAGCACAGATAACTGGTGAGGAGGAGTCAGGGAACGGGGGGGGAGAGGGGAGAAAAGAGGGGAATTGAATTGGGACGGTAAAAAAGCTATAGCTAACAAACGTAATAGGAGGAAACAAACTTAGCAGAAAGAGATTCCTACCGCAGACGTCAACTGACGACCGCGCGATGGCGCTGCTGGGAGACCCAAAAGGGGGGGGAGGGTTCGCGAAACGCTGATAAAAAAACACGCCCTCCCCTCCCCGCTCCCCCCTCTCTCTCCCTCCTTACAGAGAGAGAGAAAGGGGGCCAAGACGAGCTTTCAACGGGGGGTGTACGAAAAAGAGTGTGGCAATGAACGCCTCTGTCTCAGCCACCAAGGCAGGACAGTGCACATACACACAGACATACATACACACAGGCAAGAGAGACAAACTGTAAATATTTGACGACACTGTGCACATCCGGGCACATTGCGCGCGCGAAACAGCCGCCAACCCCCCACACATACACACACATACACACATACACACACGCAACCCCCCCCCAAACACACAACCCCACCTGAGTAAACGAGCTTCCAGCCGTCTCGATGCTCCAGAACCAAGCCCCAGGCGTCACGACAGTGGTGTACGGCCACAGACTGCCAACGGAACAACCCCAACAACTCGCACTGCGCCGCGACGTCGCCGCCGCCAGCACCACCGCTGATGCCGCCAGTGGCAGCAGCGGCGGCGGTGGCGGCGGCAGAGCCGCCTCCTACCTCCCCTCCAGGACACCGCCGCCGCAGTGACGGCAGTGGTGCTAGGGGCGGTGGTGGTGGCGGTGGTGCTAGGGGCGGTTGCGGCGGCGGTAGCAGCAGCTGGGCCGGCGCTGCCTTGAGTTGTTGTTGTTGGTGCCATCGCAACCTCGCAGCGGCACTCACTCGCATACCCCGCTGCTGCGGTCTGCCGGCTAGCTGCAGCCCATTGGGCCCCGCCGCCGCCGCGTTCACCCCGGAAGGCGCAGCAACACGCGACTGCTGCTGCTGCATCTGTAGCTCGGGAAGGAAACCGTCAACATCATCGCCACCAAGGCCGTTGCTGCCGCCGCCACGGTTGATGCCGTTACTTCCAATCATGCCGTACGGGGGGCAGCAGTAGCAACTCTGCAACGGTCCTGGCGGAACTGGATTGTACGGCAGTTTATGTTGTCGTACTGGTTGTTGTTGGTGATAATAAAGGTGTTGCTGAACCTGGTTCGGATGTGGCTGTGAAGGCAGCTGCCGGAAGGAGGCTCCTGGCATCGCTGGCGGTGGCGGCGGTGGCGGCGGCTCGGACCGTTGAGCCGGCGGTTGTAACCGTTGAGCCCTTGAGCAGCCTGAGGAAGTAGCAGCAGTAGCATCAGAGTCGGTGCAGAGTAACAGCGATGGCGGTGGCGGCGGTAGTGGCGGCAGTCAAGAGTCATTGCACCACCAGCGGCACTGATCAGTAAATCGCTTTCATCTACTCACCACTCTTGCATCACCACCATCATTAGTAGCAGCAACAGCAGCAACAGCGACAGCAATAGCAACAGCAGCGACAGCTCGAAAGACTGAAGTACGACATGTCAGAAGTGACACCAGAAGAACACAGCTCACACAACACACCCACGCACCCGAGAACTGGGAGCAGTGTACGAATGTGTACGGGCTCCAGGAGGGATGTAAGGGCCCCACCCTCGATAGCCATTGACCCACTTCCTGCGTGTACGACAACACAAAGAGGAGGGCCATTCGCATTACCCGCCGGGGTTGGTCGTTGCGTTAAGGCCACTAATCACTAATCACTAGGGGAAGAAAGGGATAATAGTGCGGGGTTACCCACCGCAACCGCGACCGCGACGGCGACGGCGACAGGAGGAAAGAAAAGGGGTACAGCCTCCGCCAAACCCCCCAAACCCCCCAACGCCGCCCGCAGACCTCTCTACCAGAACACCCGACGTAAACGGGCAGACAGACAGACAGACAGAATACAGTGTCAGCGTCTGGAAGCGTCTAGGAGAGACTTTCCCCTCCCCCTCTCCCCCCCCTCCATTTCCCCTCCCCGTTCACACTTCCGCTTTATTCGTCAGTGGTTCATGTTACCCCCCAAACCCCCTGCGCCTCCGCGCTCTCAACCCCTCAACCCTCACCGCAGGCCCCACCACCAACAAGGGCGGCAGCAACGGCGGCGCAGACGCCGCCTCCTTCCGTACCGCCGCCCTCGCCGCCGCCGCCGCTGCCCTCCCGCGAGCCTCAAGCAGCCCCGGCAGGCCCAAACAGTGATCGGGGTGTTTGTGTGAGATCCACACAACCGCCAAATCCGACACCGCCTCCACCGCACCCCGGGGGCCCAGCCAGCGAACCATCGCGCCGAAAGCGCCCTCGCCCGCGTCAATGAGGAGCGACCCACGGGTCAGCGGCCCCAGCCCTCGCACCAGCACAGCGCTGGCACCGCGGTATTTGGACGGCTCAGCGCTGCCCGTACCCAGGAACAGAACGGACACTTGGCCCACGGCGGGCGCAGCGGCGCTGGCGGCGGCGGTGGTAACGGCGGCGGCGAATGATGAATTAGTCGACGGCGGCGGCAGCGGCTGCTGTGGCGATGTCGGGATGATTCCTGCAGCAGGCCGCAGCAAGCAGGCTGGCAGCGGAAGATCGTCGAGCACCGGGGGGACGGCGGCGGCGGCTTCAGCGGCAGTAGCAGCGGGCTGCGAGGCTTTAGCCCGGTACGTAAGGCCCGTCGGCGGCCCCGTGGTTGTACGGCCCGCGGTGGCCCCGGCGGCATCGTACTGATCAAGTTCAGCCAGGTACGCCTCCAATGGGGGGTTTGAGGCCGCTACTGCTGCTACTGATGGTGCTGCTACTACTGACCCTGCCCCCCAGCCCACCCTCCGTGTTATTGCTACTGCCGTTTCCGCCCCTTCCGCCCCTTCCGCTTCTGACACCAACACGCCAGCAGTGCGGGACCCGACCCCGACCCCCCCTTCCGGCGGCGGTGAGTCCGGCCCCACCCCGCGGCACTCAGGAGGTGGCTGCGGCGGAGCGGTGGCAGCCGCCGCATCGGTACCACCTCCGCCACCACCTCCGCCACCTGCCGCAGCCGCATCAGCTCCGGCGGTAACAGAATCGCCGTCATCACCTCCACCTCCACCCCCACCCCCAGGGGGCCTCCAAAGGACAGCTCGCAGTCTCTGACGCAACCGTGTCGCCGCATCCCAGTTGGTGTTGGCGGCGGTGACGACGGTGATGTCCTCTTCGGGCATGAACTGCTGCTGCTGCTGGTGTTGCTGCTGGTGGGGTGTAGGTAGCGGCTGTGGGAGCGGCGTCACTTCCTTCATCTCCGGGTAGTGAGAACTTGCAGTCGATATCCCTGCTACTGCTACTGCTACTGCTGCTGGTGCTACTGCCTGCGCCGACGTTTGTCCTGCTCCTGCTACTCCTGCTGCTGTTGTTGCTAATCGTACTGCTACTGCTGATCGTGTGTTCTCTGTTGTTGCTGCTACTGCTGCTGCGGGACGAGGGGCTTCAGGGAGGCCTGCTGCGGCTACTGCGGTGACTGAGTGATCCACGTCACCTGCTGTACCAGTTGCCGTACCGTTGAGTACGGTAGCCGCGGACGCCAGACGCCGTCGCACTCGCCGTGCTGCGGCCCTATTGCTATCATCGTCACCACCGCCACCATCACCGCCGCCACCACCATCACCGCCGCCACGTGATGATGCGGAGGGGGCACCAGCACTGCCTCGCTCACTGGCCGCAGCCCCAGGCATCTCCCGCCCACTTGCTGCCGCCACCGCTGCCGTACCAACCAACCCAACCATCGTCGTCGCCGCTGGCGCTGGCGCTGCTGTTGTAGACCCCCAGCTCGCTTTGCCGCCGCCGCCGCCGCCGCCAGCCCTCAAGGACGCGCGCAGCCTCGCGGCCGCGTGTCGGTTATTGGCAGTTGAAGTCGTTATTGTCGTTGCAGCGGAGAAGTTAGGCGGGAAGGAGCCTGGCGTGCCGCCGCCGCCGCCACTGTGCATTGCCGCCGCGGCACCTGACAGACCTGCTACAGTGGCGCCGCCACCGCCGCCGCCGCCGCCGCCGTCGGTCTGCCCGTACCCGGGCTGCTGCGGCTGTGAAAGATGATGAGGGGGAATCCACGGCGGCGGAAGCGGCGACGCAGCAGCACCCGTCGGAGGCATTATGCCGTACATGCCATATGATACCCGCGCACTAGGGGCGGCGGCGGCGTTAGCGGCCAAACAATGGCGCGGGAACCACCCGGGGTTCCCGGGGTTAGGCTGCGATTGGTGCTGTACGGCGGCGTACGGGTACGAATTGGCGGATTGTGAGTGGTGGTACGGCAACGGTATTGGTTGGCCGGTCCACGCGCCATGAGGGCCATGTGAAGCTGCTGGCCACGGCGAGTGCAGTCGGTTGCCGTACACGTCGCTATTACGACGCAGATAATGCAGTACAGCGTCGCCACCGCCACCGACGTTGCTGCCGCCGACGTTGCTGCCGCACTGCCAGCCAAAGACAGGGGGTGCGGCCGGCGGGAGGGCACGGGGCTCATTCTCCGGGTACGATGCGTAAGAGTACGACGGCCGCATGACGCCGCCGGTATGCTCCGGCGTGCCGTACGCCGCCGCGGCTGCCGCTAGCTCCTCCTCTGCCGTCAAGCCGCCGCCACCGCTGCTGCTGCCACCCGCCGTACATCCTCCGCCGCCGCCGTTCGCCCAGGGGCCGGCGGGTTGGTAATCATGTTGTTGTTGGTAATTCTGATGTTGTTGGTGCCGCTCTATCTGCAAATGTGGTTGCTGTTCCTGTTGCTGCAGCTGCAGCTGGTGTTGTGCCGGGTGATGTTGCGAGACCTGCTGCTGCTGCTGCTGCTGGGAGGCTGCTGATGGTGACTGGTCCATCCGCCGGCGGGTGATATCCTCCGGGGATATGTCCCTGCTTGAGATCTGCCGGGGCGGCTGCTGGTTGAGGAGGAATCGCTGAGCCATTGCCGTGCGTGTCAGGTGCGGGAATGTACGACGGAGGGCCTTGTACGGCGAATGGAACACACAAAAACACACGTGTACGTACGGCATGTTGAGCCACGCGCCCATGGCGAAGCGGTTGGTCCGCCCAGGACATTCGTTGGTTTCGGAGCGGGAGCGGAAGGGAGGGGAAGGTAAGTGGGCATTAGGATTGTGTCTAAGTGGAGAAGAGAGCGAAAACCCGCCTAACCAACCAACCCAACGGAAAACCCCGCGACCTCGTTACAGCCAACACCAACGCGGACACAGCATGGGCACTTCCTCCCCCTCCTTCACTGGGCCCCTCCTTTCCCCCCCTCCTCCTCCTCCCCCTCCCCCTCATCCCGCTGCTACTGCTCCTCACATCCAGTCCCCGCATCGAACGACTTCACCTACCTACCTACATACCCCCCCACACACAGGCGCCCACCTGCAACATCTGCAACAACCCGGTATCTCTTCTCTCCAACAACAGACTCCGCTGCACCTCCGCCACCGCCGGAAGCATCTGCTCCGGAACCAAGTCCGCCGCCGCCGCTGCGTCGTTTCCCAGCCTGCCGCCGCCGCCGCCGCCGCCATCGCCCGGGCCGTCATCCCACCAATGCACCAGGACCGCCGCCGCTTCCTGATGACACTCGTGCTTTTTTTCCTCCTTCTGGATCTGCTGCTGCTTCTGTTGCTCTCCGCCGCTACCGCTACTGCTACTGCTACCGCTACTGCTACTGCTGTCATCGTCCGTGTCGGAAGTTGAGAAGCCCCGGGATTTTCCTCCGGTGCCGCCACCGCCGCCGCCGCTACCGCCGCCGCCATGTTGTACGACAACGCACGTCGCCGCCAGCGTATCTAGCAGCGACACGACACGGCTTTTGACCGCATTGCGGCGTTGCGTGATGATCCCAGCAGCCCCCCGGCGGACGCCATTGGCCTTGCGACCCATCGGTCGATGTACGGCCGCCGCCGCCGCCACCACCGCCGCCACGTGCCCGTTACCAACCACCGTTGTGGCTGTAGCTGCTGGTTCAGTGCCCTCCCGCGGCTCCTCACGCTCCGCAACGAGCTGCAGCTGAGGCGGATCTTCCGGCTCCGCCAGTGCTGGTGGCGGCGGCTGTAGCTGTTGCTGCTGACCGTGTAACGGCTGGGAGCTGGGTCCTGTAGGCTTGTCGCCGGCATTGGACACCGCCTCGCGCAACGCCGCCGCCGTCGTCGGCTCCACTGCCGCGGCCGCCGCCGCGGCGGTGGCGGTGGCGGCGGTGGCGGCGGCAGCAGCAATGTTGTCCTCCAGCTGCCGGTCCACAGCGTCCACACCACGTTCCCCAACGTCCTCGTTCACCACGCCACGTCGCGCTGCCGCCGCACATTGCCGTACACGCAGCTCGTACGGCAACGGAAAGATGGCCGGTGCCACCGCGTTGAGCCGCATCGTCACCCTAGCGGAACCCAAATGGCCAAGTCCTGCCAGCGGCGGCGGCGGCACTGCCGCCGCCGCCGCCGCCGTCGTCGCCGCGATGGCGGCAGGCTTGGGCCACACGTGCGGCCCGGGCAGCTGCCGCTCCGCCAGCTGGCGGTACCGCCGCTGCCACGTCACCTCCGCCGCCGCCACGTGCGTTACCGCGAGCAGTAACCCCGACGGCGCTCGGCGCAGCAGCTTCGACACGGGGTGAGCCGCCAGCGACCGTACGGCACCCAAGTCGCCGGCGGCAACTACCAACACGGCCTGACGGGTGTGTTTCAGGTAGAGGAGGTAGGCAAGCGGGTTGTCGTCTGGCGGCCGGGTGGCCTTGCTTGGCTGTGGTGGCGGTTGTGGCACCGGCGGCGGCGGTTGTCGCGTTGACGACGGCGGCGGCGGCTGCAGCCCTGGCAGCGTCACCCGCCTGGCGGCGACGGTGCTGCTAGGAGTTGCCGCCGCCGCTGCTGCTGCCGCCGTGCGCCGTACACCTTGCGGCGGCAGCGTAGGTCTGGTTTCCAGGTGATGACCGGTGACCGCGGATCTAAGGCGCTCAAGAACCTGCGACCGCAGCGCCACCTTCGAGGTCAAAGTTGCCGCAGGTCCTGGTGGCGGCGGCGCCTCCGCCGCCGCCGCGCCGCCACCGCCGCCGCCGACAGCTGCAGCCAGCACACGACCGCTGCGCCTGGCGGCGGCAGCGCCTCCGCCTGATGCCGCGCGACCATGTCGTGCGACTCCGTACACCCCCGCTGGACGACGCTCCGCTGGGCCGCTGGCCATGAACAAACGATCCAATTCAGAAAACAGATCCAGGTGGTCACCCCGTATCTTGCTACTGCCGTGCGGCCTCCCGCCGCCAGCTCCCGCCGCCGCTGCGGCAACAGCTGGACGGCCGCGATCCAGCGCCGCCGCCGCCGCCGCCGCCGCACCCTCATCGCTATCGCCATCGCCCTCCGTGTCGCTCCGTGTACCTCCGCCGTCACTCACATCGCTGCTGCTATCTCCACCACTCTCAGGGACTCCACCCTTGCTGCTACTGCTACTGCTGCTGCCGGTGCCGCCACCGCTACCGCCGCTCGTTCTTTTCGGGCTCTCTTCCGCCTCCTCCCCGTCGTTGCAGGCGGTAGTACTTGCCGTACTGCAGGATCCTAAATCCCACGACACCTCCGACACCGATCGCGGTGCTTCTTCTTTTCCTCCGGATACAGTGTCGTACGCCGCATGAAGGGCCGCCGCCGCCGCTGAAGCCCTCTGGATTGAGGCACGGAGCGCATGCAAAGATGGTAGTGTGCCTAGGCACGACATTGCCCCCACCTTTCCCCCCCCGTCTCCCTCATCCTCACTACTGCTGCTGCTACTATTGAGCTGCCCCGGATTCTTCGTGACAGCGACGTCACCGCCTCCGCCGCTGCTGTCGTACAGCCGCCGCCGCCGCCGCGGCGGCAGCGGCCTCTCCTCAGCCCCGTCCTCGGCTGCGGTTCTTTGTTGCGGGGCCCCAGCCCCAGCCACGCCTAGTGCCTCGCCTAAGCGAGCTCCACCCCCCTGACGTCGCCGCGGCCTCTTTCGCTTTCGTGGCCGCGCGTTGAGCATCCAATCCGAATCTCCATCGGCCCCCTCCTCCGGCCCGATTACGCCGTCGCCGCCACCGCCGCCAAATGGTTCCGGAGCTGCGGTTACATTCGCAGGATTACATGCAGAGCTCCGAAACCGCTGTTGGGCCCCCGTGGCGCCACCACCGCTTGCTGATACCGGGGCCAGATCTGCCGTACTGAGCCAGGGGGGTACCTGCCACAGCAGCGAGTTCCGCCAGACCGGCCGTACTTCCAGGCACTCGTCGTCGTACACGCAACCCTGCTGTGCGGACGTCAGCGTCGTAAGCTCCAGCGCAGGGTGCGTGCACCGTACAAAGTACGACAGGCCCTCAACGGTGTCGTACAGGCCTGTCGTGGGGGCAACCAATGTGGCTGTATGAGGTGGGGTGGGTAGGTACGGACACGTGCCATGTGTTTAGCGACGCGTCGTGTCGCGTGTGTGACACGTCCTGGGTTTCAGTTGCCACAGAGCCCATCTTCTCCCCCCACAGGGGGCCCTCGCGACCTGAAACGCCCCGAATTACAGGGTTCATCCCGTACAGCAAGCTGCCGTACTGTACCATTTTCCGTACATACCAGCCGGTCCCACAAGCCGAAGCGCCGCATGGCCGTCCTGGCGTAACCTGAGCAGTAAGCCACCTAGGCCGCCCTGCGGTTTCCGTTAAGGTGGTTGCGGTGGTTGTGGGGAGTAATGCGAGATAGAGGGTTCGGTTAACCTTCTCTTCCTCGCGGGGTTAGAGGTTTCCCCGGAGGGGGGTTTCGTGGAGAGGGGAGGGGATAGTCCGGTGAGAGTTCCCCCTGTGTACATGTGTGTGTGTGTTTGTGTGTGTTTGTGTGTGTGTGTTTGTGTGTGTTTGTGTGTGTGTGTTTGTGTGTGTGTGTTTGTGTGTGTTTGTGTGTGTGTGTTTGTGTGTGTGTGTTTGTGTGTGTGTGTTTGTGTGTGTGTGTTTGTGTGTGTGTGTGAGGGCGCGAGGAGACGAGGGGGTGTGTGTGGTTGGGGTGCACCAGGCGATACAGGTGTGAGGCGCCGGGGAAGGACTAAAACCAAATAGATGTCTGTGAGAACGTGACGGTGTGTGTGTGTGTGTGTGCTTTCCCACCCCATCTTCCCCCCCATTATCCGTCTGTTCTGGTATCTGCTTCAAACGTCAGTGGTTCGTCTTAACCCCCGATCACAACCACCGCAACCGCCACCCCTGAGGGGCGGGGGGGTGTTTAAAGATGGAGATGGAACACAGGCGAGTGATGTTGATACCGGGGATAGAAAGACTCCCACTCCACGCATAGACGGAGAGAAGGGAAGAGAGAGGAGCCTGCTACTATATACTGCTGTCATCCCCTCCCCTCCTCAAGCGGCTCTCTCATGGGGTGTGTGTCTGTCGCACACATACATACATACATACACATGCAGGATTTCTGTGTTAATTAGCTGGTAGTGTGACTTCTTGTCGTACCTGCGCTGCCTGGGACAAGTCGGTGAGGAAAAGCGCTCGAAGGCCCGGGCCGGGCCGGCATCGGTGCTCCAAAACCAGTCGAGCAAATCCTTCTGGCGCGTTAATTAAGTACTGGGTGTGTACGGGGGAATTTCGACACATCAAGGGGGAGGGATGTCGGCGCTTATGGGGTGGTCGGAAGGTACTTTTCAATGACAAGAGTTATCCAGGCCGCCTTCCCTTGGGATGTTCTTACCCGGGGCCAATATTACGCATATTAAATATGTTTCAGGGACGTAAGTCTTTGTTAGGTGCAGGTTCATACATGCGAAAGGAACTAGCGTTCCGGTAACCATGACGCCCGTCGGCGCGCGCTCGCCGCCAGTGTTTCGTTGGCTACGAATAGCCTAGACACCGGATGAAATTATTACGCTAGCTTATGACGGTAGTCTCACTTGGTTTGGTGTTGTATGACGTTTACCATTGCGGATTGTCAGCAGAAGCGCTGGTCCAACCCCATCGCTCGGAGCAATAATCCACTTCACCTCCGCGGAAGGCTGCCGCTCCATACTACTGAAGCCGGGGAATCTTTCCTCGGGCTTTACACAGCTTAGCACGCTTCGGTTTGCAATAATACTTGCATCCAAAGGTTTTCGTAACACAAAGCGAATGGGTTCGAAGCGATTGTTTCGTTTAGGGGCCAAGGCTTTGTGCTAACTACGGACCTGATCTAGCCTCCAATCGTTTGTAACCGCAGCTGTGATGCGACGCACTTGTGCATCTGTCGGTCGTCTAGGGACGAGCAACCGTACAGCCTTGATTTCGCTGATGACTTTTTCCGTCCAAGTGCCTGAGCCATACGCTACGTAGCACATAATTACGATTGCGCAGGGGTTTAGGTTAACATATGTGGCCTACCCCAAAGCTCTGGAGCTCTGGCTGGTCCCTTTGCTCTCTTAATGGGTTGTGCACAATATTAAACAACCAATTTTAACTCTGTCGTCCAAGCAAATCTTGAACCACTAAGCAGTGTGTCTTCTAATTCGGCTACTACACAACGTGGCAGCGACGTAACTGTCAACATGACGCCATTAGCCGTAGCTGGAACCCCTATGCACGCGTTGACTCTACAGCTGAGCCCCGCTCAATTGCATCGTGCACCGCACCGGCGGGGAAGGGGTAAGTAAGGGCGGCCTGGGCAAGTCCGGTACACGCCCTCGCTCAACCTTCTATTTGCACAGGGACAAGTCCGTTGGCCGGAGTCGTAAGCACGTCTGCATATGCAACAATTCCAGCAAATGGCAGGATTTCAGGGATGCAGCCGCTGCCACGCAGTCGTGAGGCGAGTTGGCTCGCTGTATGATTCTCGATTGCGGAACTGCTGCCTACTGCGCATCTTGTAACTTGCTAGTTATTGTATCCGTCGGTGTTCTATGCCACTATGCCACGAGGCCCACAACTCCGTACCTGCTCGCGCTTTGCGCGCCAACAGGATTTGCAAGGGGGGCTTTTGGGGACCATGAAGAATCGCTTCGGCTCATCACCAATAATTCCCTGTGACCTTTTACTGGTAACAAGCTGGGAGGAAACCTCAATTGAGCTGCCTACGGAAGAACCTTGCCCTGAAGAATGGCTTCCCGGAGGGGGCATTTCACCCTCGGCCATATCGCAGGGCTTTGCCACGGTACGTAGGAGTCCCCTGACAGACTCTGTACTATACTAATGCCTTATAACGATAGTTGAACGCGTTTTAATTCAGTTTTGTTGCTTGCAAGGGTCACTGGGGTTTTAGGGGAACTGCGCGGGCCGCGGGACAAAAACTGCTCGCACCAGACAGCTCAACAGGATCTTCCAGACTTCAAAAGAAGGAACTGAAAGCCCTTTGACCGAAAGTCAAGAGCTTCCTTCGCCTAGCATCGGGCCATCATCTCTATCCAAACACCAAAGTTTGACCACCCTAACCTCCCGACCTGAGGACAGCCCTCCATGCACGGCCTCCACACAACCCGTGTGCAGAATTCCCTTTGCCAACCCGCACCCCTGCCCGTCGCCATCTCCTCCGCGGCCGATTTTGCCCTCCCACCCCTGCATGTCCTGCTGCTGCTGCTGGCGCTGTTCTGGGACCCAACCCGAAACTGGACCCAAAGTCCAAGGGCCCAGTCAAGCAGACCATGCAAGACTACTTCGTCGCCGTCAGCGACGCGCTCGGAGCGCTGTGGTCTCTCAGCCCGCCCGCTTGGCGAGCGACCCGGGGTCCCGCGTTTTCCCACCACAGCGGCGCGCCGTTTTGCCTCACCGCGGTCTTTGACGGCCACGGCTCCGGCGACCACGCGGCGCGCACCGCGCAGGAGAGCGTGCTTGCGGCTGTGGCGTCTGACCCAGATCTCCTGGACTGCTTTGGTACGTACGTGGGGGTTACGAAACTTACTTCTGACTGGGAAGAATTTCCTTGGAGGAAAAAGAGAACACCTACAGGGGGGGCCTGCGGAGGTGGCTCGGGAAGGGAAGGGAAGGGAAGGGCATCATTCTACACACAGGCGGCGGCATGCAGGGCGGGATTCAAGGGATTCAATCTACATGGCCCTTCCACCTGGCTGGCTGGCTGGTTGGGGTATACATAATGACAACCATGGAGCATGTGAGCCTGGGGGGAAAGAACCACCAAGAACGTAAAAGCCACGAAACTGAAGGAAACCCGCAGCCCCCTTATGATGTAAATCGTGATGTCTTTCATCGTGATAACGGAAGCCACTTGTTACCTTCAGTATCATGATGAAAGACATCACGATTTATCAAGCTTGACGAGAGGACCACGGCGGGCGATCTGGGTGTTTGATGTACCAGCCTTTCGGAATATATCGACCTTAATTTTCCTGAATCCCACGGGTTGTTATGGGTCCGTCATCGCGATGCCGCCCTCGAACTTACACAAGAATTTAATTAGATGATGTGGCGCCCATTACTTTTGTCGTTATGTTTGTCATTTGTTGCCATCTGGCGGCCTCATCCTAATTCCTTCCGTCCCAGCTCGCAACATGGAGATGCCGGGTGTGAGCCCCGAGGTGCTGGCGGTGGCCACCAGCGCCTTCCGCCGCTCCTTTCGAGAGCTGGACTCCCGGATTTGCGCGGAGGGGGAAGCGCGGGGGCTGCCGGTGAGTAGGAAGAGGAACGCGGGAAGGACCCGAGGACCGCTGTATCAAGGGGCGGGAGGTCGGGAAGGGGCGGGAGGTCGGGAAGGGGCGGGAGGTCGGGAAGGGGCGGGAGGTCGGGAAGGGGCGGGAGGTCGGGAAGGGGCGGGAGGTCGGGAAGGGGCGGGAGGTCGGGAAGGGGCGGGAAGGGGCGGGAGGTCGGGAAGGGGCGGGAGGTCGGGAAGGGGCGGGAGGTCGGGAAGGGGCGGGCGGTCGGGAAGGGGCAGGAGGTCGGGAAGGGGCGGGAGGTCGGGAAGGGGCGGGAGGTCGGGAAGGGGCGGGAGGTCGGGAAGGGGGGGGAGGTCGGGAAGGGAACTGTGTGTCCCAAGGGGGCGGAGAAGAAGTAATACTAAGAGGAGGAGGGCGGAAGGGGAGGAAAAGGGGGCGCATGAAAGCGCTTTCCCTCGCCCCCCCCGCCTCCCCCTTGCGGACGTCAAGTTAGCGGTGGGCTTCCTTCCCGCCCCGCATGTGCGCAATCAGGCATATTGCCAGTTTGGTTGAAATCCGCAATGCGATCGATGCTTTGGGGAGGGGGCTCCCATTACCCCTACACGCGGGGTGCGGCATATGCGGCCTATGCCTCCCCCCCTGGCCCCCTGGTGTCCTCCGACCCCTCCCCACCTTCCGACATCTCAATGCCGTGTCTGTGTGTGTGTGCTCCCTCAGCACGACGGCACCACTGCGCTGGTGAGCGTCCAGGTGGGCCCCAAGCTCTACACCGCCAACGCGGGGGACTGCCGGGCGGTGCTGTGTCGCGGCGGCCGGGCGGTGAGACTGTCCCGCGACCACAAGCCGGAGCTGCCAGAGGAGCGCACCCGCATCGAGGCGGCGGGGGGGCGGGTGGCCAACGTGCGGGGGACGTGGCGGGTGGTGCTGCCGCTGGCGGATGGTTGCACAGCCAAGGTCTGCTCCGTGTCCAGGTGCGGCCCTTGGAAGGGGGGAAAGGAGGGGGGAAGGATACAACGAAACACAGACGATTGACGAAAAGATAATACTACTATTATTAAGATACTATTAGGAAAAAGGGGGGAGACGAACCACGAGTGAGTGAAGCTGCTGCCAAGGAAAGAGACCGAGGGGAAGCGGAGGTGTGGTAGGTGGGAGTAGACATGGAGGGACTGGTAGGGGCTGGTGAGATGCTGGGGTGAAGTGAGGAGGGGATTGGGGTGGGGGTTAACAAACTTGGTGCCCGATGGAGCTGGAAATGAGGGGGAGGGGGGGGGGAGGGGTTGCTACAGCTGTCGGTGGTGGCCCTCCCACTCCCCCGTTGTGCACGTGGGTGGATGGATGTGTTTTGGCCGCTACATGGACTTGAGAAAACTGGGCGTGGTCCGTACGCCGTACACCGTACATTGGTAAGAACTCGACACACAGCTAAATGTCACCACCGTTGGGTGACAGAGGTGAGTTTGGGGGAAAACCCAACGGGTGCGTTTTGTAAGGGAGAGTAACTCCTCCTCACTCGCGAGCCTGGTGATCTGTCATTTGCGTGTCTGTCCCCGTCGTTTCTCGTGGCTTTGGCCCAGGGGTTTTGGCGACCGGGACTTCAAGGCCGCCTCGCTCATCTCTTCCCAGCCTGATGTGGCAGCGCTGGTGCTGGCGCCACAGCTGGACACGTTCGCCATTCACGCCAGCGACGGGCTGTGGGGCGTGGTGGGAGATCAGGAGGCGGTGGACCTGGCGACGGAGGTGATTGACAAGGTGAGAGGGTGGTTGGGCCGTGGGGGAGGGCGAAGGGTGTGGGAAAAAGGGCAATGGGCAAATCCTAGATTCTTTTGGCGTACGTAAACAGTTTGTGGGTCGTCCACACATACTTGGTTGCTGCCCCTGTTCACTGGGCGGCGGGAGCTCTCTCTTTTCGTATCTTACATGTTGCATGTTGCCATATTTCTCTGGAACGTGCGCTTATATGTTGGGCCGCCCCTCTTTCCACTCTTCCCTCTCCCCCGCGCTTTAAATATGACTCCCCGTTCCTAAATTTGTCGTACTACAATTTTTCGTACAATTTGTATCCGCCACCGCAGTTTACGGGCATGACTTCCTTCAATACGCAGCATGCTGCCGCCGCCAAGGCCTCTGCGCAGGAGCTTGTCAAACTGGCTCGGGACAGGGGGTCTATGGACGACATTACCGTGGTCGTGACGCTGTACGACTGGAATTGAGATCCAATTTGGATCCAGCAGGTCGGCAGGGATACACCACGGCATGGTGTGGATCCATTCAGATCCGTTGGAGCTGTGGATGGTTGGTGACCCAGATCTGGGTTACGTTGTCGGGATTGTTTCTTTTCAGGGGGGCCGACGTCAGTCAGTTGTGAGCTGCTGTGAAAATTGTCGGGATTGTGTGCTCTGCCGATGTGCGCTGCTGGCTAAGAGCATGTTGACCCAGATCGATTTGGATTTTGGGATTGGGGATGAAATACCCGTTGGTGCGGTTCGGTTCGATTGAAACTAAAGAACCGTTGGCAAGATTGATCTGCATGCTAGGTGCTTACCGGGTTGTTAATTGATACATGTGTTATGTACGTATGCATGTATGTATGTTTGTGTCTCTCTCGCGGCGTGGCTTTTTGAGTGGTGGAAGGATTGTCCCCCGGACGCGCCACCACTCAGGAAGAAACTTGAGGAGAGGGTTGCTCTGGCGCTCCTCGAGACGCTCTGACTATCTGCGCTGCTGCAAGCAGACGAGTTTGAATTTTGGTTTTGGTTTTTAGTTGTGTTTTAGTTGAGCTTTTACTTACACAAGAAACGTCAAGAGGCAGCAACATGGTACATGGTGCATATGGGTTCATGACGTATCATCGTGATCTCACGTGTTTGACGTTCCCCCTTTTCCATTTTGGATTATTGGGGGTTGGGTGGGAAACAGGGCGGGGTGCAGGTGCGCACGACCGCATTACACGACCGCATAGCACGGCCCATAGCTGGTGTTGGGTTTGAGTTGGGTTTGATCCTGGTTTGGGCACTGGTGGGGCACTGTAAGTATTCTCTCTCCCTCCACCGGTGCGAAGAGGTAATGAGGGAGGGATGTACACTAAGGGGCCGTTCTCGCCGGAGTCCCCCCGCCCGCCCGCCCGCCGCATGGGCCATGTACCTACCAGGTGCGTGAGCGGTGGCAGAAGTCCAAGGCGCGCAACTGCATGCCCAGTGTATGAAGTGAATTTGTCGCGATGTATATGGTGACGCATGACGAGGTGTGGGTCAGATCGGATGGGTCGAGTCGATGTGGGGCAAGGGAAATGCTGGTGGAGGTAGGGGGGTACCGGGGTGGCTACTCCTCGCGCGCGGTATGTGTTCTGTGCGTGTATGTCTATGTGTGTGTATGTGCGCTTTTGGGGGATTAGCTGCAGGTGGATCGAAGGGGGGACCCGCCATCGCGTCAGCTGATGTCGCTGTCGATGTGGTGGTAAAGGAGGGGTGCCATCCTCCGTTGCGTCGTTTCGTCTCATCATCATCCGTCTTGATTGTATAGGAGCGTCAAGGTCCACTGTTGCGCCCCGTTGAGGGACCTTGCCGCAGTAGATCGCCTCTGTTGTGTTGTCGTTTCGTGGATGTCCTTGCGAGCGTTGGGGCCCCTTGGGTTTGGGAGTGTGGTTCTTTATTGTGGATAACTAACTTGTGTGTTTTCTGCAGTTGTGGTGTGTCACATAGCTCACTCTGCTGCACCACACTTGCACTTTGCGCTGTGCCGTGCTGTGCTGTGCGGTGACCACATTGTGGACTTCTCTCCCGGTGCAACCCTTCAGGAAAGAGCATTTGGATTCGGGTCTTTGACGAAAGTGTGCGCGATGGTGGTGATGGTGGTGGTGGTGGTAGAGGTCTCCTGGGGCTCCGGCTCTGTTGCCCGCTGCCCTCCTTGGCTGTTGGTTGTCCCCCCTTGGCTGTGGATGGGGCCGCCAAGTCAGCAGCAGAAAGGTCCTGCCGGACACGGGCAACGGACATCCAGCACGGTCCATTTGCAGTGGTGTCTGTGGTGGCTCCCCTGGTGGGCATGGATTGGTGACTGTACATGGATATGGCTGTTTTGCTACTCAGACCAGCACCTACCTGCCTCAGCGACTGGCGGCACACCACCAAGGCGCAGTGCCTCTCCCCCCTCCTTTCCCATGCCCACTTTAAGTATGGGGTGTATAGGAGGTTGGAGGCGACGGGGGGCCCTTGCCATTTGGCTTTGGGCGAGAGACCTACCTCGTGCAGAAGCATTTCTGACGTGGGCGTTTGAGAAATTTTGGGGGTGTCCTCCAGGCCCCGCTGGCCCGCGGCCTAATTCCCTGGGGCTTGACTTGACTTGACTTTTGACGAAGAAGATAACAAGGTGAAGAATGCAGGTCGTGCCTCTTTAGGAAACCGCGCGGGCAACAAGGGAGTTGGATCCTCCCGAGGAAAGGGGCGGGCCGGGGGGAAGATCATCCCCCCGGGGGTAATGCAGGGAGTCCCCGGATGGTCGATCACGGAGCGCGTGTGTGTGTTTCGCGTGTCGTCGGTGCATTTGCAGGAGGATGGGCTCCCCCGGCTGAGTTTTGGCCTCAACTGCGGGTCGTGGCCGAAAGTGCGTTTATATGTCCTCCTCTTGAAAGCGTGTGTGTTTTTGTTGTCGTATGTATAATTTGGTCGTTCGTACATGGGATCCCCGTGTCGGGCGCAGTGTGTATGACCACGCATGGTATTGAGAAATGGTCTTCTGATCTACTGAATGTCTTGGCGTATTGAACACGGCATCTGGGAGCACACGTGCGTCGAGGTGCATAGTGCGAGCGCAACGCAGCGCGGCGCGGCGCAGCTGACCTGGCGCGGCTTAGCTTGGCGTTAACGGTTTGTCTTGGCACTTGTGGCCGGGTGGTGCGTGTGGGTGTGCATGTCATCCAGGGACTTGTTGGTCTCTTTGTTTCCATGTCCGTGGTTCCTCAGCCGGCGCGATGTTTCACATTGAAGCGTGTGGTGATAATTGCTGTTTGAAGACCGTCTGAGATGAGAGGTCTGTCTGAAAGTGCTTGGGAAGGAAGGGGGGATATTGGGCGCGCGATCTTTTGGTCGTGCTCTGGCTCTCCATGCTGTGTGGGTGGGTAGGGGCAGCCATAACAGACTCGTCCCGTCAAACCACAGTTCACGAACAGTTGCGCCCATGTCGGTCGGTTGGTGGTTGGGAGGCAAACTGTATTACCTGACAGCGATGTCTCGGCCGGGTGGGTCAAGGTTGAGGCGGAGGGGTTGACGAGCGGGCAAAGGACGCGCCTTGGGGATGAGCTGGTCAGCTGGCGGAGGGAGGCGGAGTTTTAGTTGCGAGCTTCACTTTTTGCCATCTCTTTTGCCTTCTCATTTCTCTTTTGCCTTGTCTTCTGATTCCGATTCCTATGACTATGGCGTACCTTATGTCTGGTCAAGTCGCGCTTTAGGTCTTGTGTTTGGCTTTGTTTGCAGCAGCGGTGTCGATTTCCTGCCCAAGGTGTTTTCTGACCGGCATGTATGTGTGTACGTGTTTAACGTGTCTTGGGTTACGGCACTGGCAGTGCAGCGGTGTTTTGTGAACTGCTGGGGGCTCTGAACGCGGCTGGCAGGGCTGGACGTCTGAGCCCGTGTCGTACACCACTGTTTTCGGAAAAGAGACAAACATCATGTACCACTAAGAGGCCCCATGGTCGCGACACCGTCCGTACCGTTATGACATGCATGTGTACACGACCCGGCGTCTTGATTGGGTGGCTCTGGACCTGAGGCTGCCGCGGCGAGACACAAACATCGGCTTGGGCGAGCTCGTAAACGGTTGAACGTAAAGTTGGCGCACGCGCGAGTCAGATGAGGTGGAGATGAGGACGCATTGCCGTCCGGGGGGTTTCAGCGGGAGAGCAAGGGGGCCTAGTACTGCATACCCCACCACCCTGCGTGGTGCTTGTATACATCATGTGTGCCCACTTGTCCGTTGATCCGTGCGCGCTGACGTCTCCTCCCGCACGCTCTCCCTTTTCGGGAGGTGGGGAAGGAAAAGGGGGAGGGAAGAGGATGAGTCCTAGGGCACGTTTTCTCTGCGGCGCGGTGTTTTATTGTTGTTATTCGGGAAATTGTCCTATACTTTTTATCCTTATACTTAATGAGGAGCGAGCGTGTGCATTGCACGTCGTGTTAGTGTTGTGTCGTGTCGTGTCGTGTCCTGTCATGTGGCTGTCGTGGCCTGTGTGTGTGGTTGTTACAGTGGCCAGTGGTGGGAGGTTTCTTGTGTGCTGTCCTTCCGAGTCACGAGCTCCTTGGGGTAAAGTCTTGTTGTGTTCTTAACGGTAAAGTAGGTTATTGCAGTGCTAGGTTTTAGTTTTTTTGTAGCTTTGCTCGTCCATGGTTGTACGGGAATAGGAAGGCTGAACTGCGTGTACGGTGGTGATTGGTGGTGGGGATGAATACTATGTAATCGCTGTGTGCTTTTACTGTCACAAGAACTTTCATGGCATGACGGAGTTGGGCCATGTCGTCATAAAGAAACCTCATGTTGTTTAACTTATGATGGTGTTTCCCATCCTCCTCCTCGCGGTTCCTAGGTGTAGATGCGGAGGAGGTCTGCATTTCGCTAGCCTTGAAGATGGGATGGACCTGGTCGGGCGAACGGCGGCACTGCCGGGGGTATGGGACCCTGGCATGTTGGCCGGTTTGTGGATGGCATTGGTGTGTTAGATCATGTCATGTGATGGAATGTTATTGGCAGTAGGTTTGAGGTCGGTTGGCGGTGGGGATCGAGGGGGGATTGTGTTCCGACCTTCTGTATTACGCACACAAGTTAGCTCCGACGGTTCGACGTGTCTATTT